CAACGCCTCGTCGCTGCCGCCGTTGCCGTCGCGAAGAATTCCGACCAGGATTTATTATATCTCTTACGTCGCGCAGCATCTTTTGAGGCAGGTTCGGGCGCTTAACTCGGCATTAGCGGTCGAGAGGTCTGCTTCCCCCCCCCCCCGAGGCCGGTGTAACCGCCGTTCTACGAGAGAGAAATCGGCGTGGCGATTGATTCTCACGTGGCGCGATAAATCAACGAGATCGAACTTTAACGTGTAGACGGTTTCAGCCTCGTTCAACGAGTCGGATTCCTGTTTGCACAAAGAATATACGTTCGAAAGATCAAATTTGCACGGGTTGCCGCCAGTAACGCGTAAATCTCGCAATGCGCCTTTTTAAAAAACACAAATGTTTGTATCTGCAACGTTGACAGTAAAAAGTGTCGCGGCGAGGAAAAATGTTCAAAGTCACGTGTGTAATTTCGCGAAAATTAGGAAACATTTTTGTGAAACGATTGCAAAACAGTTTTCAATCAAAGTCGGTGATTACGTTCCGTTGCTCCAGAAACCACGACAGAGATCGGTACACCTTTATGAATGTCAGGTTTTACAAATGGATAAATAACTAAAGGCTCTCCCGATAACGAAATTAACAAGAACCAAGTAAAAGGACGGACTTTGAAAGCGCAATGCGGTTAACAGTGCGCGAGTTGACGTTATCAACCATTAATTACTAAAGTACATAATTATTCGGACTACCTAGTTAGCACTCGTCTGACATCAGAACGCAATCAAGACGCTTTTCACTTGAAAACGGCCGGAATTCTCGGTCGAAACGTTGTGCAATTCCTTTAATAAAGTATTGCCAGATACGCCGAACAATTGTTCCCCGTTACATTTTTATCAGTACACAATTTCATCCGTCATCTTCGGCGATGCAGCAATAGATAGAAATCGAAATGGCGCGACTTAATTTTTTACATCACATTAATTGTCAGCGATCCCCTTTTTTCCATACGCCGCCGCAGAGAAACTCGAGAGCAACGAATGCAAAGAAGGGTATCGCCCGAAGACCTTGGATAAAGAACTCGGATCGACCTGCATGTAGGCCAGTAGGTCAAGTTGACATTAGCGCAGTGAATCACGATAGCAACCATCGAGTCTCTCTTCCCACGTGCACTTGAATTAGCGAGGCGTCTAAATTTCGGATACGTTTCGCCCGGAGGCGCGATAATCGATCGGCCTTGGCTGATAAGCAAATACTCGTAGATTAACGGCTCTCATTTTTCGCAATAAATTTCTTTAAGTAGAACTTGCCGGTCTAGCGTCGCCTAGCAATCTTACTACGTTGGTTAACCACGTACTGGCGTCAAATAATTCTTTACCTCACTTATTATTATCAACTGTTGTGAGAACAGCGCAGTTTGTAGAGTCCGTGGTGTCCTTGATCGTTATCTTCCCGAAGACAGCTCCTTCAGTGAGTCCCGCCGCTCAAAAAATATTTTATCCCGAAATTATTAGACGCTTTCGTATTTAGGCAAATCCAACGGTTGACTATATCGACCGATTAACGAGTTGCGCGCGAGATCTATTAGTTTTGATCGATAAATATACTTTTTTTTTTACGTCATTCCAACGAAATGTTACGTCGAGCGAAGGCATTGAGGGATTAGAGGAAGAAAAAGGCGCTGAAAAATCCACTCGACAAGCAGCACGCCATAATCTACCGACGAATTGCCCAGGAAACGTGAGGCGGTCGGATAATTCTACGCGGACGGTTCCGTCTGCCTAAACGTCAAGATTTATGCGTCTAATATGACCGGTATGAATTCATAAATCCAGACGGTATTACCATCCGCGAAACTCGTGATTCATAAATCTCGGGATTTATGCGGCGTCCCGAACGCTTAGACACTTTGTGCGTGCGTAACTGTCTTTGGAAACGTAATATCGTCCGAGGCAAATTACAGAATTCTAATCCTGTGCGTGGCTAGAAAAAAATTCGCGGTCCTCTATCTTCTCTCGTCGAGGACATAAATTTACTTTGGAACAGGAAAAGATATTTCAATACGCTTTAATATTACGGCAACATTCCTTTGATACTGAAAACGGCGATGATCGATTCTCAGCAATTAAAATCTCGTGTTACAAATGTGGTAAATCAGGTATCAAGTATTTACCAGAGACAACTTCCAAAATTCTCTTACAGCTGGCGAGAACGAAACGGAGAAAGTCTGCCTTGTTACACAGGAAAAAAGAATATCCTTCTTTTGAAAATATGTTTAGTTTCAACGTGAAAATCTTGAAATGAGATCATATTGCGTTAAAGCAAGAGAAACTTACTTGAATGAAGCAATTTTATAGAATTTAATCGAGAAAAATATATGCTTATTATTCAAGAATTATTTTCTTGAATGGAGTGGAAACAATATTGGCTACAAGATAAACACATTTTCGAATCGACGGTTATAACGATTAAAATAATGTATTGTCAATATAATTATATGTATTCTTCAAGTGACAATTATAGTATTTAAATAAGACTGTAATATTGTTGTAATGTGTGATTAATAAATGCTTCTAAGATTATGGATGGTTGCGTTTATACAAAACAATAAACGCGTTAATTTGAGTATATCAAAATTGACCTGACACTTTTTTTTCTGTGTAACATCCGACTTACAAATTCATGAATTTGCATATTTCAAATGTCTATTCATGGTAGCATAAATATTTAAAATAGTTATCTTGTTTTGTCACAAGCATTTAACTTCGTCTCGAAATCACCAAAAAGTTTTCGAAACTGCAAATCCCGAAAGAAAAACGAAACAAGGCTATCGATGCCCGCCCATCGCGTTTGTCTTTACGATTTTCCTCGCCGTTTTCAAATTCCAAGGAATTCGCCAAGTACAATTCACCAATTCATTCCAAGGAAGAAACAATTATGCGCTATTGTCTGAGATGTGATAAGAATCGGCATCGCGCAGTGTGATACATTCACGGAATCCATTTAAACCGCTGAAAATTAGTCGCACGATTGTTGGAAACGAAGTATTAGGTAGCAGAGAGACTTTTGATGGAGACAAAGTAATAAGAATTTAAGACAACTGAGCCTAATAAGTATCGTAGGATATTATTAGGAGATTAATGCGCGAATGTTGAAGATACGCATCCGATCGATCAGTTAAGCTCCGACATCATCTTTCAATATCGTTAGTAATCTAATTTGATTGGCATTAATCATTTCTCTCTGTCGAAGGTTTCCTTCGTTATCTGAGACAATGCGAGCACAGGAATAAGTAATAATAAACAAGTCTATTAAGCGGAGCAATCAACTTTGATTGCACCGTGTTTAGGATACATAGAAATGCGTATCGGAGCGATGCGATCACGCTGAATTATCTGAATTACCGGCGCGAGACTTTATCGCGCGTTGGCACGAGCACGAGCCGAACATAGTAGATCGATATCGCGCAGCTCGAACGATTTAATATGCAAACGAATGACGCGCGGCTTGATCGCGCGGCCGCGTCGCGGATCCGCGACTCCGCGAAATCCCTATTCGGCGTGCGGCCGATTTTTGCATTTTTCTTGCCTCGCAAGAATCCACAGTGACGATCTCCGTCCGATCTCTGGGGAGGAGAGCGTTGTTGCTAGAGGAGGAGGAGGTGGTGATGGCGGTGGAGGAGGAGGCACACGGGTTCGCTTTTGCCTCAGCGTACCCGTTCGTTCACCCTAGCGGGGGCACCAACCTGGCTTTACTTCAGTTACACGCCGGGAGAGCTGGCGCGTTGTGTATACGTGTACACATGCATATATATATATAATATATTATATATATGTGTGTGTGTGCGTGTATGTATATATAAAAAACTGTACACACATATACAAAACTAGTAAATAAAAGCATGTACGTAGGGCATGCACGGTAATATACGTAAGGATATCCGGATGCTCGCACCGGGAAAGGTCAGGGCCTAAAAATGCGGGGAAGGACCGTGGAAAATTAAGTAACGAAAGCGTCCGCGTCATTTCTTATCCCGGATAGCAATCATTGTAGCGAATAGTGAGCGCACTTAAAGTTCGGTCAAACGTAAGAGAGTACTCGTACTAATCGTCCGCTTTTTTTTTTTCTCGAATCGCTGACTGTGCTATGACTGCGCTTTTTTTTAGCATGAACGAGGGAAGGTGATTAACGTCACGACTGTTTGACCATCGCTTTAGGCGCTGAAACCTGCGGGTCGGAAAGAGGACTGCTACCGAGATCGAAAAATCAAACTCGGCCGCGACTGTCGTTGCGCGATTTCTTTCGTTCTATCGCCGCAGCGCCTTTAAGCGCATATTTCGGGACACCTTGTATAAAGGCATATAATACATTCTCGCGTGTACTTACACCTAGTATAGGTGGGTACACGGGGAGCGTACCGAGAGTGTCCCGGTCGAGGCACGACGCGATTCCACGGCCCTTCGCGAAAGGGAGAGAAAGAGAGCGAGCGAGGCGGTACCAACTTCGCCGGCCCGTTCCCTGGGAGGAGAGGAGGAAGGAGAGAGAGAGAAAGAGAGAAAGGACGGGACCGTAAAGGCGAGAGAGAAGAGGACGGGCGCTTTTGTTCGACCCGCGCTCGCGGACGAAGCCGCGAGTCGCTCTTCTCTTCGGAAGAGGCTCTCGACGCTAGGAATGAAGACATTACTGTCCGCGAGTAACACTCCGTCGACTGTTTCCAGCCTGGAAGAGGCTCCGGTCCGCGACGAGAGGCGCCTGCGACGCCCCGCGCCGTCGAATTCGCTGATCGCGCAATATCCACCGTCACGATGGAATTTGCACCGCTTAGAGTCGACGTCGGCTTACGGCCGTCGCCAGCCGGGTTCTTGACCTAAGCGCAAGCCGTGAGAGCGGGAGAGCGGCGAAATTTCAATTTCGGAACGCTCGCCGAACGGCGGAATCGACGGGTTCCGTCACGGTAAAAGAAATATCTATTTTGGAAAAAGCGACGCTCCGCTGCCGTCGAAAGAAAGATAGAGAAAGGAGGAGAAAGTTCGGGATAGAGAACACGGCTGGACCTTTAATTATTCGCACGTTGACGCCGTCGATCTGTACAACAGATCCGGTGGACTTATAGATAATTCGTTATCAGTATTAGAATTACATAATTATTACTTCGCTAAACAGTTGGGCGAGACACGCCATCACAAGTATATGCATTCGAATCGGCACGCGGAGATTAAGAATAACGAGTCAGATTCGACGCGTTGACCATCCGGATGGATACGGGAGCGGTCACCGTGTCCGTCGGGCTGGACCTCTGCGGGTGATGGGAATAACTGACTTCCATGTCGATCTCGTCGAGCTCCTCCTCCTCCTCCTCGTGAGTATCCGACTCGTCTTCCTCTTCGCCCTCGCCCTCCTCCTCCTCCTCCTCCTCTTCCTCCCCCTCCGAGCCTCTGAACTAGATTTTTCGTGCGCGCGAGAGAAAGTTGGTGTTAATGTTGTACATTAAGTATCATTAATCCGTTCTAGTTCCGGTTTAGACGTTTCCGGACGTCGAACATATCAAATTTAGATCTTCGTGAATCACGACGGCGCAGCTGTGCCCCAACACTTCAGGTCGAACATCTCAAGTGTTCGATACGTGCGACAGATTGAACATGAGATTACAATAAATATCAAATTATGTACAATATTACGTACAATATTAGATAAAATATGAATATGAACTTGGTAAATATAGCCGTTCGCACACGAATATCTAAATGCGACGCGTTCGATCTGGAAATGTATGAATAATTGGGAGATATTCATTGACATCGGATGTGCTTCGGTAATTTCTACAATTTCGCTACGACAAGTCGAGATTTACTCTTAATTAGTAGACTATGTGCATTTAGTAACAATACCTACAACAGTATGCGATTTCCGACCGATGGTAAGGCGAGCAAACGCAATGCAATCACATTGAAGACGAATGATGGCGCAATTTGTCAGGATACAATTTTTCCACACGAAATTTTCCCTTAAAATTTATCCTGAAAATTATGTTGTCATGGGACAACGCGGCACCTCGAAGAATTTTATGATACAATTTCAAAATATTCTTCAAAATGCCATGTTGTCACACGATTACATAATTTTACGGTAAATTTTCAGAGAAAATTCTCTCCGTGCAGGGTTGAACGTTTACGAGTAAAATATATAATAATCTGCAGCCACAAATATTCAATATAAATTATGTTTAACGTGTCAAGTAAATAATAGATCATTTATGGATCATCAAACATTTGCATCTCGAAGAAATATCGGAAATTTATGCTTTGGTTAGTATTTTCAATGCTTTAGTTTGGGCAAAATTTTTAGGACACCACGAGAAATTATTAACGGTTTTGAAGATCTCAACTTTACACCTGTGAAAAAAAATTAAGATTGTGCAACCGTGAACTAAGTTACATTGCTCTTCGTTGTTTAACAACTCAACATAAAGAACAATAAAGAATTATTTAACGCCAGCCATTGGTCGATTAATAATATTTTTGTTTGCAAAAATTCAGCTTAAAGAAATCAACCGATCAATCTCAATCGTACAATTTAGAATTTGCGTCGATTATATTGTCCAAATGGAGAAAACATTTTTGTAAACATAATTTAAACAGTCCATCTTGAAATCTTTAATTAGACTGCGCTGGATTTTTCTATAATTATTTTGCGCCAATTAATTTCTTTGCCAATTAAAAATTTGCGTTTCACTCCTGCACATTTTTATTTATTAAAACACTGAACTCTGAAGAGGCTATACTTCCGTAAGATAGCAAAGAATTTGCAGGATAACTTGGGACCTCGATTATTATCCACGGACAAGATTCGGAAATCAATTCAGTACTTTATACATCTATTGTGGTAGTTAAATTTTTCTACCTTCATTTCTTTACAGCAAGAACGATATTACGTATACCGATATTGCGTTACGTGATCGTACAAAAATGACAACTAAATAAAACAGGAAAAACTCAGCGCTGTCTCTCTCGCTACACAACAAATCAATTCACCTTTCACTTATCATGCGACTGCCGTCTCGCTCGACTCCCGACAATCAAGACGCGTCGTAGCCGAACGGTCAAAACGCGGCACGCGCTCGCGTGTCGAGAGGCGAGAAACAAGCACGCGTGCCGCCGATAACGAGCCGAAAAGAATCGAGCGCGTCGACGACGGCGAAACGGCCGCGAGACTCGGCGAGAGCGCGAGCGCGCGGCGACGCGTTAAAGTTAGGTTAGGTTAACTTACGTCGCTCACCGTCTTCCCGATCGGGATGTGCTCGTAGCCCTGCACCCGCACGTGATCCCGCTGCAACAAACGCGGAAGAAAATGTAGGACGCCCGTCACGGACGAGCCGCGCTCCATCAGTCGCGACACTTACCCAGGCTTGGTGCTCGGCTTCGAGCGCGGCGACCTCGCTCTCGTCGTCGCACGGCCTGTCGGCGTTGAACCACAGCGGGTCGGTCGCCCGCGGCCGCAGGTCCGGCCACAGCGGCCTGATCGACATTGCGAGCGACGAATCACGGGGGACGAGGGAATCCGTGGGCGGCCGCGGCGAGGAACGACTCTCGGAGGATCCGCTTGACCGTCTCGACTGCGCCGTGGAATTCGAACGAACGCGAGTGACCGCGCGCGCATGCGCGGGCCCGCTGCGCGCGCACGCCGAGCGTCTCCCGCGCTTCTGTACTATCCGCTCTTTTTGTTCGAAGAGAGACTTGCTTTATTTCTACCAAAGTAACAGATTATTGTCCCCGGCGAGTTTCTATCGAGCAATGAGCGACGAATAACGACACAGGCTGCTTTTCTCTTGAGGGACGCGGTTAACTTTAGGCGCAAGTCGACGCGCGTCGCTTTTCATTTAGAATTGGATTCAAACTGAAACGACACCTTCGCGCGGGAAGAAAGTGTATTTCGAGTGTAGAACGCGTCCGTTTCCGGTTATTACGTGCGTCGTCGATTTTCATTTTTCAATCTCCTTTTCCGCCCGCGATGTCTATTGAGCGATCCTTGCGCGCTATTTTATTCGTCGCGACTTATATTTGTAATATACAGAATATTTCGCGACTATTACTTTTTCAACGGCGTGTTAATTAGACACGAAAATTCCGGGAATTGAAGGAGATATCGAAATCCCGGCCAAGTCCAAACGATTTTGCAATTGGTCAGCGACGGAGTTGTATGGGCCTCCTCCTCCTCCATTCGGGTGGCCTCCTCTCAGGTGTCGTTGTCTACGCTGTTCTCCGGCACACTCGCGAATTTTCCACTCCCGTTTCTAAAGCCGATCCTTTCCGCTTTAATCGCGTCACAACCACTGTTCAATCTTACGACGCGACACGACGAACCGCCGCGTGCGATTCGTTTAAACAGACGACTTTTACTTCGTATTACTCGGTAATCTATCTCGGCAAATCGCCGTCCAATTTCACGATACGATTACGGATCGCGACAATCACTTGAACGAAATCAATAGACATCGTATACGAGACGATCGCGTTGCGTAGAAGATCGTTGCGAGGACCGACGTAAAGACACACGAAACGTCCGCTTCGCTCGACTACACCGAGCCGAATGAACGCGTCACAGCGTAAAAACAGTTTCTACCGAGGTGTTTACGACGCTACGTCATCTCGTGGAATCCGCGCCCGG